ATTCCACCTGACCTTACTGCAACCAGTTTCTCAGTAAAAAGTTATTTTGATTAACCACATGGTATCATGAGTCGTGCTTTCCTGAGAAGATTAGTTGGGACAGGTCCTTACAGTTTCTTTTGAACAATTTTTATTCTTCTAGTAGTATGTTCCAATCATGGGTTCCATCCCACCAAGTTTCATTTTCAATATTGTTCTTGCCCGCATGTACAAGACCTTCAAGTTCTCTGTTTTATTTAGAAAATGTATTTGCTATTCCATATCGTATCCAATAACTATTGCCAATACTTTTAAGCATCAGAATATAGACATCTCAGCCTTTTATGGCTGATCTTGTATTTGCTTTTTATGTCACCTGTTTTATAGGAGCCATGGTGGCAGAGTGGTTAGAATGCAGTATTAAAGGCTAATTCAGCTCAGTCCTCACCGGCTCAAGATTGACTTAGCCTTCCATCCTTCCAAGGTCGGTAAAATAAGGACCCAGGTTTTGGGGGGCTATATGCTGACTCTGTAAACTACACAGAGAGAGCCATAAAGCACTGTGAAGCAGTATATAAGTCTAAGAGCTAGGTGCACTTAGTTCCCCTTCTTACTCTTCATTCCCTTCCCCATTATCTGATTGGTTGTTCTGGGGTTTATGCTTAAGGTTTGGTCTTAAAGATTGGATAATTTCCCCTTCTATTTTTGGTTTAAAGCTCTTCGGATGAGCTAAGCCAGTTGTTTTCCAAATATATTCTTCTCAGTCTTTGTGAGGTGCAGCCCATATGATTCAGTTCATTAGTAAATCATACTAAACCAACCTAATTTTTTTCAACAAATTACCCAGCAAAGCCTTTCATGAGATTCTGGTAGAGAAGATGTCAAATCATGATATTAGATAAATAGATAGATACAGAGCTGGTTAAACAATAGTGCCCAACAATTTTATGTTAAGCTTAAATAAAATATAGAGTGGAACTATGAAGAGCTCTTTTCTGGGTCCTATATTGTTCAAAATTTCTAATATTCTGATGAGAGATTAGTAAATACTATCATGAAATTTGAAAATTAATAAAAAAACAATTACATACCATTCAGGAAGAATTGAAAAGCTGGAACAATAGACAAAAATTAGCAGGATGAATGTAACCTGAGAGAAATCTAAAGTCCTACATTTCGGTCAGAAAAGATGACAGAATAAGATGGAGAGACGCCATACTCCATAGTGATACCTGAAAAAGGAACTAGGTATCTTAGTGAATTAGTAGAAGAGAATTTATATAGCTCTGGGTTAAAAGATGGAGTCCTTGGTGCTCTGAACTTGGTTGTTTGCTTGCAGATATTTTGTTACCTGATTAGGTATCTTGGTGAATTATATACTGAAGAGAACAAAGCCTAAAATGAATGGCAATGTACACCTAAAACTAATATAAAAATAATAAATGTAATTCTTCATTAAAAAGATAAAGGTAAAGGTTTCCATGACCCAGTCATATCCAAATCTAGGGGGCAATGCTCATCTCCATTTTCTAGCCAAGGGAGCCAGCATTGTCCAAACACACTTCTGTTGTCATGTGGCCAGCATGACTGTATGTCAAGGTGCACAGAAACACTGTTACCTTCCCACCAAAGTGGTGCCTATTTATCTACTTGCATTTGTATGCTTTCAAACTAATAGTTTGGCAAGAGCTAGGGCAAGAATGGGACCTCACCCCATCATGCAGTACTTGGGTCTTGAACTGCCCACCTTTTAGTTGACAGTCCAATGTTTTAATAAGAAAAATATGGTGTCCAGCTTAAGAAAAGTTATTCTCTATTTCGAACTGGGTAGATTGGGCCCAGTATATTGCAATCAGTTCTGGACACATTTTAGGAAGGATATTGACAAAGTGGAGTATGTTTAGATATTGGCAAAGAGGAGGCAACCAAGATAACAAGAGCCCCGGAAAGAAAAACTTATGAGGAACAGTTGAGATATTATGTATGTTTAATCTGGAAAAAAGATGACCATGAAAAAGAGAATAATTATCTTCAAGTATCAAAAGGTGTGTCACATAGAAAATTGGTTTAAATTATTTCTGGAGGACATCATGAAAAATTTCCAAATAGCGAAACCTGTTTAAGAATGGGAGACATTGTTTTCAACGATGGTGGGCTCACCATCTGTTGGAGATGTTTAGACAGAGGCTTAATGACCATTATTGGGAAGGATAGAGTAGTGGGTTCCTGCAGTGATCAGCAGGTTGGATTCAATGAACTTCAAGGACTCTTCTAACACATATGTTCTATATTTTAAACTTCTTTAAATTCTAAAAGACAGAAAAAATTGCAGATGGTCTTGATGGATTAGGGAAATGGCTGGAAAGTAAGAAAATGAATTTCTGCAATAACTTCTTGGCTATCCATTGTGCCAAATGTGAGCCGGTTTTCATAGAATCATAGGCCTGGAAGGGATCAGAGGTCTTCTAGTACAACCCTGTCCAAAGCAGGAGATCTTATTCTATCCTGGAAAAATGGCTGTCCAATGTTTTCTTGAAGATCTCCAGTGATGGAGCACTTTAATTCCAAGAGGAAAGCTGTTCCATTGATTAATTGTTCTTATGTCAAGAAAATTGTCTTTAGTTCCAGATTGGATCTCTCTTTTACAAACTACCACCCATTGCTTTTTGTCCCGTCCTCAGATGCTTTGGAAAATAAATCAATCCTGTCTTCTTGGTGACAGCCCCCCAAATTCCAGAAGACAGCTATCATGTCACCCCAATCCTTCTCTTTGTTAGGCTAGCCTTGTAACCTTAACTGTTCATCATACAGTAGAGCTTCCAGACTCTTTATCATCTTTGTTCTTCTCTGCACTATTTCTAGGGCCTAAGCATCTTTTTTGTATTTTGGTGACCAGAACTAGACGTTCTATTCCAAGCATGGCCTCAGTAGTGCAGTATAGAGAGGTATTATCACTTTTCCTGATCTTGAAGCTATCCACGTGTTAATACAACCCAGGACTGCATTGGCTTTTTTTGGCAGCTGCAGCACACTATTGGCTCATAATTACAGTAAGTGATAGGTCCACTAGGACACCAAGATCCCTCCTCACAGTTACTACTGTTGAACCAGGTGTCCCCTATTTTATATCTATGATTTTGGTTTTTCCTACCTGAGTATAAAACCATCCTTTTCTCACCACTGAACTGCATCTTGTTGGATAGTGCCCATTTCTCTGGTCTGTCAAGACCCTTCTGAATCTTAAGTCTATTTTTCAAAGTGTTGGCAATTCCCCCCAGGTTGGTTGCAACTGCAAATTTAAGGCAATGCTCCTTCTATTTCCTCATCTAGATCATTTATAAAGATGTTGAAGAGCACTGGGCTCAAAAAGAACCTTGAGATATCCCACTGGTGTACTTCACTCCAGGTAGATGTAGTTCCATTAAGATTACAGGCTAAGTGCAGTTGACCAGCTAATTGCAAATCCATTTGAACAAGATAACTGCAGAGTTTTCCTTAGGAAACAAAAATCAGGTACAGAAACAAAGAACAGGAAATATGTACTATAATTACATAATGCTATACAGCTTTTTAAAGATATGAAGTGAAATTGATGATAGATTGAATATGATTTAGCAATGTGACATGGCTTCAAAATTACAGAAATATAACTTATATTTCTTGGCAAGTAAAATTTTTGTCTATCTATTGGTCAGACTTAAGCTCAAGTACTGGGTTGAGTTTGGGCACCCCATTTTATAAATAATTTAAAAAACGTGACTAAGATTCAGCAGTGGGCAAGAAGGACAATCATGAGACATCAAATTAAATTCTATGAACAGAGAATGAGAGAAACGAACATTTATTTTTGAGTAAAAAATAACTAATATTATTCATCAAATACTTGACAACTGATTATCAAATTCAGTATTACTTTAAGATATGGAATAATCGTGGACTGAACATAAAGGTCAAATTCCAACTGAATAATAACAAAAAATATTCTTTAATATTAAGAACAGTTTGATGCTGGAACCAGAAATATGATAAATTTCCTTCACTGCATATTTTCAGTCAAATGCTATAGAATCATCTATCCTGAATGTTTTGATTTGAGTTCCTGCAAGGAGCAGGGGATTGAATTTTGGCCTAAGTGACTTCTTACAGTGTTATGATTTTATGTGGGGATGGGGAGAACTGAAAGGTTATGACACAAAATGAAATTCCACCAAAAATGTCAATTGTGTCACCCCTACAGTATTCACATGGCATTCAAAAATAAGTCTGAAATTGTATACAAACAAAGCAATATAGGGATTTTTTTTTGTTTCAACAGACAAATGGCATTGGTGCAGATAATGGCGCATACAAGGGAACTGTAATGAAATTTATCTGTGGATGGATCTACTGAATCTTATTAGAATTCTTATTCCACTTTAAAAAAATATATATATTTGCTACAATTTCCAGCAGGGAATGCGAAGGTTCTTGACTAGAATGAGGTTAAAAAAGCAGCTTGGAAAAATGAAAAAAAAACAACGCATATTTACTCTGCTAAGTAAAGAACAAGATGTGTCCATGCAATCAACAAAATATGAACTCGACAAGGGAGTTTTTGTCTTTACTGTTCTTTATCGAGAAGAAATATTAATCCAGTTGCTCTGAAATTTCCTGGATTCTTCATTCCTCTTTAAATATTGGTATTTTATAGAGTAATTTTCAAGTATATGATACTGAGGTTAAAATAAGAGACATTATCTCGTTAATATTAATTCGTTTTTAAAAAGAAAAATTCTTCTCGTTTACATTAGCATGGAATTTTGAAAATGATACAAATCCAATACTTTGCATACTCATTATGGGAATTTAGTGAGAAATCCACGGAATGAGAATTATTTACTTGCTGAAAAATGATCTATATTAAAAGGAGTTTCTCAAAAAATCATTTTATTTCAATTGGACAACCAATCCCGTCAGTGAGAACAAGGCTTTGATTTAATCGTCCTTATAAGATTGCTATAATAGAGAAAATAACTTCTTACTTGCAGGAAAAGTTGCAGGATACAGATCCGACAAATTAAAAAGTCTGATTCTCCCTTTAAAGATCTTTTTATTAATCTTTTTTCTTCCTTCTGTTTACTTAGTCGTCTACGATCTCTTCACAATGCCGAACGCGTCGATACAGTCGAAAATTCAAAAAGGCTTTGGTGGGATCCGTCTCCATGGCGATCTCCGTTACGTCTATTCTGCCAGGCGCTTTGAAATGACGTGATCACAACACTTCTTTTAGCGGAGGCGTTTGGATGGTTCGTGTGTAGCGTAATTTGAACGTATTCAGAGGAGCGAGTGCGGAAACGTATATGAATGAAGAAGAAAAAAAATGGTCTCGTAATGGCAGACTTGAAAGCTCCAGAACCCCTGGAAATCGAAAACAGGTAGGGTGTGAACGAGAGCGGAGAACGAACAGTACTGATTGGTGGGCCTAAAGATAGTGAGGGTCGAACTTGAGTTTTTTGAGCAGGGCGGGGTAGGAATGTAACAAGAGAATGAGGTAAAACCTGGATGGAATTAATGAGTGTAGAATAGTTGATACATTTGCATTTTGAGGGAAGTTGTTGAAAGCAAGTTTTAGTTTTGGAATATGCATCTATTTCTTTAGTGCTAATTGTTGAGAAGCCGGTATCTTTTTATTCGCAAAATAATTGATACTAGATAAAGAATCTTCAGCCAATTTAATTTTAATGTAAACTGCAAAGAACGAATTGTTTACACAATTCATTTCCATGTTTTCTGACTTAATTGTTTCATGTTTTTATATTTCTTTTCATTTGTATTTACCTCTTTATGTGTGGTTTTTTATTTGTTTTATAGCCTCAGTTGGTAGACTCTTAATTTTATAAGAAAAAAATACACAAATTTAGAGTTAACTGTATTTATCTTACCCCTACTTTTTTAAAAAATACTTTTTTACTAAATATTTTATTGATTTTTTTAATATAAACACTTTGATACTTGGTAAACAGCCTGTTGTCTGGGTTATATTCCAAAATCCACATAATAGTTGTGCTTGATTTTTTTCTTCCAATAATATTCTCTTTGCAACCTTAAATTAATACAATTCTTATTAATTTGATAGGTAACAAATATAAAGATTTTTCTAAAATTTCTACCAATAATAATCACATCAATATCATGCTTCTTTTCTATCTGGTCATCTTGGTTGCCTTGTCATGAATCCTGTTTACAATTCTTATTTAATTTTATTTTTCCTACATGTTCAAAACATTTCTACTGGTTAAAATTTTCCCAGAGTTAATTACCTTAAAGTATTTAAATCTATTTTCATGTCTTAAAAAATAAGTAAGAAAAAGACACAAAAGAAAAACATAGAAAAAGAAAAGACGTGAGAGAGGGGAAAAAAAGGGAGAGAAAAAAAGAAAATAATATACTACTTAAAATACATATCCCTCTTGAACTAGTGTACACTTATTCCCAATTTTTTTCTGTTCTTTTTACCCGTAATTAAAATTATGTTTAATCTTTAAATGTTCCATTTAATAAATCCAATCATCTAATCTTTTAACTCTATTCAAAACATTTTTTCTCTTTTTAGTTATCCATTGGAATATTCTTAAAATCAATTACATTTAAATATCTAAAATGTTTCCTTTATATTGATCATCCCAAACATTTTTATATTTCTCATATCAAAAAACAAAAGAAAAAGAAAAGAAAAAATACTGTCTTACTTGGAAGGTTTGTCCCTCTTAAACTAAAATCTTTCTGTTTCTTCAATCATATTCAAACAAGTGTTTAACTTTTAAATATTCCCTCTGATGTTGTTGTTATTGTTGTTGTTAATTGCGAAGTCGTGTCCGACCCATCGCGACCCCATGGACAACGTTCCTCCAGGTCTTCCTGTCCTCTACCATCTTCTGGAGTCCATTTAAGTTCACACCTACTGCTTCAGTGACTCCATCCAGCCATCTCATTCTCTGTCGTCCCCTTCTTCTATTGCCCTCAATCTTTCCCAACATTAGGCCCTTCTCCAGTGAGTCCTTCCTTCTCATTAGGTGGCCAAAGTATTTGAGTTTCAACTTCAGGATCTGGCCTTCTAAAGAGCAGTCGGGGTTGATCTCTTCTAGGACTGACCGGTTTGAACGCCTTGCAGTCCAAGGGACTCGCAGGAGTCTTCTCCAGCACCATAGTTCAAAGGCCTCAATTCTTTGGCGCTCAGCCTTTCTTATGGTCCAACTTTCACAGCCATACATTGCAACTGGGAAAACCATGGCCTGGACTATATGCACTTTTGTTGGCAGGGTGATGTCTCTGCTTTTTAGTATGCTGTCTAGATTTGCCATAGCTTTCCTCCCCAGGAGCAAGCGTCTTTTAATTTCTTGGCTGCAGTCCCCATCTGAGGTGATCTTGGAGCCCAGAAAAATAAAATCTGTCACTACCTCCATTTCTTCCCCATCTATTTGCCAGGAATTGAGAGGGCCGGATGCCATGATTTGGTTTTCTTAATGTTGAGTTTCAAGCCAACTTTTGCACTCTCCTTCTTCACCCGCATCAAGAGGCTCTTTAGTTCCTCTTCACTTTCTGCCATTAGCGTGGTATCATCTGCATATCTTAGTTGTTGATATTTCTCCCGGCAATCTTAATTCCAACTTTTGTTTCATCTAGCCCTGCCTTTCTCATGATGTGCTCTGCATACAAGTTAAATAGGCAGGGCGACAGTATACAGCCTTGCCGGACTCCTTTTCCAATTTTGAACCAATCAGTGGTTCCGTGTCCAGTTCTCACTGTTACTTCTTGACCCACATATAGGTTTCTCAAGAGATAAATGAGATGGTCTGGTACTCCCATCTCTTTAAGAACTTGCCACAATTTGTTGTGATCCACACAATCAAAGGCTTTTGCATAGTCAATGAAGCAGAAGTAGATGTTTTTCTGGAACTCCCTAGCTTTCTCCATGATCCAGCGTATGTTGGCAATTTGATCTCTAGTTCCTCTACCTCTTCAAAATCCTGCCTGTACTTCTGGTAGTTCTCGATCCACATACTGCTGGAGTCTAGCTTGTAGGATTTTAAGCATAATTTTACTAGCATGTGAAATGAGTGCAATGGTGCGATAGTTTGAACATTCTTTGGCATTGCCTTTCTTTGGAATTGGAATGTAAACTGACCTTTTCCAATCCTGTGGACACTGTTGAGTTTTCCAAATTTGCTGGCAAATTGAGTGTAGCACTTTTACTGCATCGTCTTTTAAGATTTTGAATAGCTCAGCTGGAATACTGTCACCTCCACTAGCTTTGTTGTTGCTCAGATTTTCTAAGGCCCATTTCACTTCACATTCTAGGATGTCTGGTTCGAGGTCAGTGACCATTCATTGTGGTTATCTGGGATGTTAAGCTCATTCTTGTATAGTTCTTCTGTGTAGTTTTGCCATCTCTTCTTAATCTCTTCTGCCTCTGTTAGGTCTCTGCCATTTTGGTCCTTTATCATGCCCATCTTTGCATGAAACGTTCCCTTCATATCTCCAGTTTTCTTGAAGAGATCTCTGGTCCTTGCTATTCTGTTGTTTTCTTCTATTTCTTTGCACTGTTCATTTAAGAAGGCATTCTTATCTCTTCTAGCTACTCTCTGGAATTCTGCATTCAATTGTGTGTATCTTTCTCTTTCTCCTTTGCCTTTCGCTTCCCTTCTTTCCTCAGCTATTTGCAAAGCTTCCTCAGACAGCCATTTTGCTTTCTTGCATTTCTTTTTCTTTGGGATGGTTTTAGTTGCTACCTCTTGTACAGTGTTGTGAACTTCCATCCATAGTTCTTCAGGCATTCTATATATCAGATCTAATTCCTTAAATCTATTTGTCACCTCTACTGTATATTCATCAGGAATATGATTTAGTTCATACCTGAGTGGCCTAGTGGTTTTCCCTACTTTTTTCAATTTAAGCCTAAATTTTGCAACGAGAAGCTCATGATCTGAGCCACAGTCAGCTCCTGGTCTTGTTTTTACTGACTGTATAGAGCTTCTCCATCTTTGGCTGCAGAGCACATAGTCAATCTGATTTCTATGTTGACCGTCTGGTGATGTCCATGTGTAGAGCCGTCTCTTGGGTTGTTGGAAAAGAGTGTTTGTTATGACCATCGTATTCTCTTGACAAAATTCTATCAGCCTGTGCCCTGCTTCATTTTGTACTCCAAGGCCAAACTTGCCTGTTATTCCGGTTATCTTTTGGCTTCCTACCTTAGCATTCCAATCCCCCATGATGATAAGGACATCATTTTTTGATGTTAATTCTATGAGGTGCTGTAGGGCTTCATAGAACCGGTCAATTTCATCCTCTTCAGCACCAGTGGTTGGGGCATAGATTTGGATTATTGTGATATTGAATGGTTTGCCTTGGATTCGAATTGAGATCATTCTGTCATTTTGGGGATTGTATCCCAGTATTGCTTTTACTATTCTTTTATTGACTATGAAGGCTACTCCATTTCTTCTGAGGGATTCTTGCCCACAGTAGTATATCTGATGGTCATCTGAGTTAAATTCACCCATTCCTGTCCATTTTAGTTCGCTGATTCCTAAGATGTCGATGTTCAGTCTTGTCATCTCTTTTTTGACTACATCTAGCTTGCCTTGATTCATGGATCTTACATTCCAGGTTCCTATGGAGAAAAAATCTTTACAGCATCGGACTTTCCTTTCACCACCAGATATATCCACAGCTGAGCGTCCTTTCGGCTTTGGCCCAGTCGCTTCATTCTTTCTGGCGCTACTAGTACTAGCCCTCTGCTCTTCCCCAGTAGCATATTGGACACTTTCCGACCTGAGGGGCTCATCTTCCAGCGTCATATCTTTTTGCCTTTTAGTACTGTCCATGGGGTTTTCATGGCAAAGATACTGGAGTGGTTTGCCATTTCCTTCTCCAGTGGATCACATTTTGTCAGAACTCTCTGCTATGACCTGTCCGTCTTGGGTGGCCCTGCACAGCATAGCTTATAGCTTCATTGAGTTACACAAGCCCCTTCGCCACGACAAGGCAGTAATCCATAAAGGGGTCCCTCTGATACACCCCATCATCTAATTCCTCAGTTCTCACTTTAGCCCTCTTCTTTTGCCAAGCATCTTTCCCAATCAATATATTCCATTGAATCAAAAAGTCTTTCTATAATCTTGCAAATGTTGTTGTGGATATAATAGGCAAATCAAACATCATGTCTTTGTAAAAAGATTTTGCCCCTTCATATTCATTGAAGATTTCTCTCATCATCCCTTTTCTCCCCATTTCTTGTGGTACTCCCAACAGCTCAGCAATCCATTTTGTAAAATCTTTTTCCTTATCCTCAAATTTACTTTCTTAGAGTACAAGTTATCTTTTCCATGTTCAATGTTTCTTATAAGTCTTTCTCTACTTGAATCTCCACTAGTTTATATTCATGCTTTACATGATCTCTCTCTTTTTTGTTTTCTGATCATTTAATTGTTGTGACGTTAAATTGAGAATGCATTTATTTAAATTTTCAAATTCATTTTTAATTTCTTCATGGTTTGAAGTTAATATCATTTGCATCTGTTGTAACAGAACATACATTTCCTCCTGGTAAATATTTATTTTTTCTTGATATGTTCTTTCTGCAGATCTCTGATGCTCCATAATAACCAAAATCCTTTCTCTGCCAATCACTTTAAAGTCACAATTTAAAAAATATTTATAGTCCAGGAAGGTCAATTTTTTCTAAGTTTTATAGTTCTCACTTTGTAGATAGTCCACAATGTTTTCTTTTCTTTTGTTATAGCTGCTCTTTGTTTAATCAGAACCCTGAAGGTCACAACAACAGGTTTTTCTTTCTGGGCTGCATATTTAGGGCAGTATTTTCGCCCACCACTAGATGTCAGCACCAGTCCATCTTTGAATTTTCTGTTCCCCCCCCCCCCCTAAACTTAATTTGCCACTCAGTTTCAGAGGATTTTTACTTCTTGGGTTTTTTCTTTTTCTTTTTTCAGGAAATCAGTCAAGTAGAAGAGAGAAAATCAATATTCTTACCCAGTTCACTCACGCTGTTTACAATCACGCTTAGTTTAGTGCTTTTTGGTTTCGTCTGCATGTAGCTTGGACTAGAGCAGCGGTTCTCAACCTATGGGTCGCGACCCCATTTGGGGTCAATCGACCATTTCACAGGGGTCACCAAGCAAGGCTGTCTGCCATTTTTTCCCCTTTTCTGGCGGGTGCCTTACCTCCCTTGGTCTGGGCCAGCTGGTGGCCCAGCCGTTGGTCGGCCTCCTCTGTCTTTGCTGCTTGCCAGCTACGCCTTGGCCGGCGCAGGGGGGCGGCACTACGCATGCGCGGCACTCCCGGGCAGAGAAAGTCCTCGACTTACGACCGGTTGGGTAGTCCTCGACTTACGATCAGTTTAGTCCTCAACTTATGACCAGTTTAGTCCTCAACGTACGACCGGTTGGGAGTCGCGGCATTAAAAAGGTTGAGAACCACTGGGCTAGAGTCACGAATGACGCTAGCCTTTCTTCTGTCGGTTTTTGGAGAGCTTTCCCCAGACGTCTGGATCAACCGCCATCTCCCCAGGATCTGTGGGCTTCCCTCCTTCCTTGCCACCTCTCCGTGTGGCTTTGGGCCCATTTAGAGTCCCCAAACAGAGAGAAATCAGCTGTAGGGCTCAGATCGTCTTGATCCTTGGCTGTAGCGCTAGCTGCGCTGAACCGGAAGTCTTATCTTACTACTTCTGTTTTGCCCAGGATAATTGAGCTGTGCCATCAGTTTCCCCATGGTATTACAGACCAAGTGATTCAGAACGACATGCCTCACATGGAAGCTCAGCAACGGGCTATGGCCATTAACCGACTGCTATCTATGGTAAGAGCTTCCTGAATTGTATGTGGTTGTTGTTTTTAAAAAAGTTATCTAGCTGCAGTCTGAAATAAAAATATGTTCTATGTGTTAAGAATACTATTTTAAAGTAAGAATACAGTTTACAGTTCTCATTACTCTATAAGTTCATATTTAGATTGGTGCATCTTTGCTGTACCAGGATCCTTATGAACTTAGTGTCCTTCATCCTGTTTGGAAAAAAAACCTGTTTTTTTAAAATAACATATAATTTTATTATTTCTTTTTACAATATTTTATAATCTGTTAACTGTTTAATTCCTGTTTACATATTTATTAGATTCAGAGATAGTTTCAAATGGAGCAGCATAAGTAAAAATTAAACAATAAATGAAATAATAGGAATATGAGCTTGCCAATGAATAGAAGTTCACAGAAAATTGTAGACAGTATATGCTTTTTGACATATGTATCTGTTTGCTATAATTATCTGCAAATAATTATAGTTTGGAATGTCTTTATATTCTGCTTTTTAATCAGGAGCTTTAGGTAATATGTCTGCATCTCTTAAAAGTGTAAACCATCCATTTATTTTCAGAAGAAAGATAAAATAATTATTCTAATAAAGGTCAGGGTTACTGAATTTGACTAATGTGACTGAGGACTTTATATTTATTTATTTATTATATTTCATATTTCTTAATCTCCCATTTCCCTCACAAATGGGCAGTAAGGAAATATGCTTATGCATTCGTTATTAGAAATCTGTGGAAATGCTTTAAAATTGTGTGTATTCTCTTAGGGTCAACTAGATCTTTTGAGAAGCAGTGGTGGACTTCTCTACAGAATCAAGGAATCTCAGAATGCTGCGTATGGATTATTTTTTTTACTCTCTTTTATTAAAATTGTCCATGAGTTTCTTAGTATGAAAAAGTATAAGTTATTGATTTATTCAGCATAACATGAGAACATGACAGAAGAGAAGTAAACATACACACACAATTCACGTAATTATACACAAAAACCTCTCAGGGGTACAGTAGTGGTCTCTTCTAGGAAATCAGAGAATCTTTCCATTCCCACAGATACAGGGCAGAGGTACTTCCAGTATCACACCTGTTCAGTTTCATGCAGACAAAGTGAGGCAGGTTAAAAACAGGTGGTTTGTTAAAGAGATCACTAATGGTCAGGTCACAAGAAAGTACCTTGGACCATTCCTCTCTCCAGGCATTCTTGGGGTTAAAGGGAGTAGATGTTAGGTGAATAGCTGTTTTCCATGCTGGCCTAAGTGATTTCAATCTTGTAATGGACTGTGCATAGCCCTGGTGAATAGGGAGAGCCTTGTTGTTCAGCATCCTTGTCCATAGCCAAATGAGAGCTTGTTGTCTTCTAATGTGGTATGATATTATTAAGAAATGGTAACCATTGCACAGGAGTAGGATACAGTGTGCCAGAGATGATACGCATTGACTATTTGGATGTGGATGCTATTAAGCCACACACTGGCATAATATTCAGCTGTGGAATAAACCAAAGCCAAGGCTGTTGTTCATGGGGTATTAGCATCAACACCCCAGGATGTTCCAGCCAGTGTACTCAGTAAATTGTTGCGACTTTTCAATTTTGCAGCTATTTTTTTCTAGGTGTTGTCAGGTTACTGATCTGTCCAATGTTACCCCCAGGTACTTTGGAGAGTTATTAAGTAACTTTCATTTATCCCTTCATAAGGTAGCAGGTCCAAATGGAAATACAAGTACAATCACAACTGAGCCTGGAATTTTGGTCATAAGTCATTGGTGGTCACCACATGACCTGGCTCAACTTTGATTCCATCATGGCTTTCCCAGGCATGGTTGTTAAGCAACTTCCATCGTTAAGTATACCATGGGGTGCCTCGGTGGGGAGAGTCCCTGGGAGGCCTGGTGCAGGCCACATGCAAGTTATGGGGGTGCTGCTACATGGCATGAGCACAGGGAGGCTAGAGAAAGAAGCTGTAGGTGCCCTGGCCTGGCCAGCAGCACAGCAAAAAGTCTCCATGTCCAGAAAACAAAATGCCTAGAAAGCATCCACTGCAGGCACAAAGCAGATACTCCGCTGGAAGCTCCAAATGCCCAGGAGACTCCAAGGGCACAAACCAGAATTCTTTTCCTCCAAAACCTAAAATGCATTTTGAACATCAGCTACCCTCATTATCCTGCTGTCCACCAGTGCAACTGACCTTCATTGTCTTCTTCCTCTCATGAGACTGCCCAGTTCTGGAGCATTTTTTTCATATTGGAAAAAAAAAGAGTTGCCCTCATTTTCCCAATATTTAGGAAAGAGATTACAGCTCTCCCAAGGCTGTGCTCAGTACCCTCAATTCCAAGAGCAAAAGTTTTGGCTGCCTTTAGCATTTTTTTTCTTTGGAAAGGGCTAAGCTGTGTGTCCCTCATAATCTCAATAGTTTTATGAAGTTTTGGCCTGACTTTCATGGGTTAAAACCATTAAGCACACATTCCTAGAGGAGATCTACTTCACAGAAGCCATTTCCATTTCCACATCTTAGTATTTGATTCTATGCTCTTGTAAAAAAATGCATTTATTTGGAATATTGACACTTTAGGCTGTAATAAAAAATAAAAAGAGGGTGGGGGTAGAGGGGTAATGGAATTAATACAGAAATATCTCTCAAAATAATATCAGTCAACCTTCAAATTCTATTAATCTTAATTATATTTCTCTTATTTCAAATACTCAATGGGATAAAAATAACAAACTTAATACAGATGTTTATTCCTTAAATAGCCTTCATAAACAGAAATTTATGCTGAGAGATATCCTTGGATAAAGACTCTTATCTTCACTCTGACATGTCTTTCCACCCAAACTTTCCAATTCAGTTTCTTTTTTGCTAACTTAGTTACTGCTGATAAGTGAGCTCTCTCTATTTAATATTTTTTTCTCAGGAACCTAGCTAAAAGCTGATGTTCTGATTTAAAATTATTTAAGTGACAGGGTCCATCTATCCAATGATCAAAATCAGTTTGTGGATTGTTTTAACTTTAGCCAGGATCTTTTAAAGATAGAAAAAGAAAATCCAGTTACTTCCAGAAAACACTTTTGCATTTTTCCCTCATACACTGTGGTATAAAGTTTGAATCCAAACTTTAATCATAAAGTGAATTCATTTCATCAGATTGTACTGCTGGATTTGTGCCCTTCACTCAGAAAAGAGGGACACATTTCACTTCTGTAGAGCCCTTAGGATTTTTATTGGAACCTTCAGGTCTGAGATATGCAATCAGTTTTCTATAACCTACAAAGTATTTGAAGAAAGAAAATGTCAAAAAGATCAATCAGCAAATATAACAAACTTTAAAAGAAACATTTTGGGATTTTGTACTCTAATATTGAGAATAAAAAGCAGACTTTACTATAAAAAATTTTTTCTTATCTTCAGGGATAGAACAGATGGACTATCTAGAACTTAGCATATGTTAACTTTGATAGGTGGAGATTTTATAATATCCCATTTTTGTATTTGCTTAATTCCTGATTATTTTTAACTGGATTATGTTGGATTTCTTTTTTAACTTTTCTATTATTTATAATAGCAACAGCAAAAGGTGCTTTTTTTAGTATAAGTTCCTTTGTTGAAGGCTTTGAACCATTTTGCCCTGAAGTAGATGTGCTACTGGGAGGAAGGAACACATGTGAGTTGTTGTGTGAGAGATCAAGCAGCCAAGTGATCTCATTCTGATTCACTGAGAGGATTCCAGTGGTTATAATTATTCAAGACTAGCTTTATCTCTCAATGGAGTTTCGGGAAACAATACTTCACTTGTGCTATTCATTTTCCATATTTACCAAATCTTTTTGAAAAAATGTTCACTTTACATTCTGTTTTCTTGCAGCAAAATGAAGGGATCTGACAATCAGGAGAAACTGGTATATCAGATTATAGAGGATGCAGGAAATAAAGGTCTGTGTCTGTTTTACTGTTTCTTTGTGAAGTACGATAGCTGTCCTGTTCTTGAATATGGTGGAATTCCAAAAGTATGAGAAAATTACTGAAAGCTTGCTAAGCAAATATAAAAAAATCTAGACAAATTCATTTTCATACATAAGTGATCAAGAAATAGTAGGAAAAAAGAAAAATCAGAAATTAACGGTTCTTTCTATCATTTCCTAATTTGTAGAAAATGTATTGAATATGTAGTTGACTTGGCAGCTGTTTGTTTGGTATTCTATCCCTGTCTAGTGAAAACAATCAGATCCCCACTTGAAGAGTTCAGTTAGTTATTTTATTGCTCATGGCTATAATATAAGAAACTTCTCAGACTGGTAGTTTGCACCTAGACCATACTAAATAAGATTTAATGGCATTCGGGAGAGGGCATTGAACCCTGTCCTCTTCTGCCTATGTAGAGATTCCAGACACCCCTGCTTGATTCCTCCTCCCAGTTTGGCCAATCCTCCTGTGACATCATCTTTGGTGGTCAAGGCCTGCATTTGTCCTTTGAAACTAGTTAAAGAGTTGTAGTTGCAGAAAACTGGGTGGAGTCTTGATAAAAAGTGATTGAGATGCTTGTGATTGTTAATTCCCAGATTGTCTTTGGTTGGTTTACTGACTCATTAAAAAAAACAAAAAATAGTTTCATAAATGTGCCCATCTGCACAAAGATGGTTTTATTGTTCTTAATATTATTATTATATGAAATTATCATCCATGCATCTGGAATAAAAAAAACAAAACTCTGTTCTTTGAGTTCCTGTTATGAGAACTGATAATAGCCATACTTATTATTAGCTATTTATTCAGCACCTGTTGATGACACAGCAATTGCTACAGCTCTCTATACAACAGTCTTAAAGCATTCTTTCTGTGAGTCATTGGATCTACGTAGCAATAGCATTTAGAGTAATATACCATCCCATAGTGCTTTACAGTATTCTCTGGGCTGTTTATAATGTCAGCAATATTTGCATATTGCCCTCAGTAATCTGACCTTGGAAGGATGGAAGACTGAGTCAACCTTGAGTCCTGTCAGGATTGAACTCCAGCTGTGGGCAGAGTTTGCCTGCAATACTGCACTTAACCACTGCGCCATCAGAGCCATCATCTATGTACGTCTTCTATAGTAAGCAGAAGAAAGCAATAGAAAAAATAATTGTGGAGAGCCCATGTCAGGATTGTTCATGGCCACTAGAAAATGTTTAAGTTCTAAGATGGCGGCGCCTGGATCGGCTGCAGCTGCATTGGCTCTCGAAGGTGAAGAGTTATGGGAGAGATATTAAGGGATATAGGCCACACGATCAGGAAGGTTTTAATGTGTTTGAGCAATGTGGTGGAACTAAGGTAACATACAACATATGACTGACAATCTTTGCTGCCATGGCGAGTTTCTAGCTGTTTCGGAACTGTTAGTGAGACTGTTAAAAGTCGTTGGTGCTGTTTGAAATTGTTCTGCCGGCAGCAAGATCTGACTGCTGGCCCAGCGATGGATTCTATTGCAAATAAGGGCTGTTTCCAAAGGAGGCAGAGGAGGAGAAGTCCCGAAGCTTATGGAGCGAAGGAACTGGATGAGGCTGTCAGCAGGCCCAGAGGATGGGAGAGAGGCTTTTGGAGGAGTTGGTGGGGCGGCAGCGTTCTCCAGGGGCAAAAAGGAGTGAGGCCCCTTTAAGGAAAAGATGGAAGAGACAAGATCAGAAAAAGAAAAGGAGGCGAGTTTGTCGTGCAGGAATACAAGTTAATTTAAGGGATAATCCACATGGAGCTCCATTTCCATCTGTTCTGTTTGCCATCGTTCGCTTCCTAGAGACTAAAATGGAAGATCTGTAACTTGAGCTGGTCACGAACAAGGACTGTATATTGGAAGTGATGACCCTTTGAGAGCTGTATGCAACAAAATTTCATTTTGATGTATGCCGATTGGTATACTTTCAAAGTGACAATAAAATTGTTGTTGTTGTTGTTGTTATGATGTCCATGGCAGAAAAGAGGAAGGTGACGTATATTTCGAAGATGACTTTTTTATTCTGCAAGCTTCTAAGGCAACAAAACTTCTCAGGAGATTGCCATTCAGCAGCATGTCTTTCTGTGGATTAAATAGTATGAAAGAAGTATGTAGATTATGTGGATCATTGCTACAATTGCTACAATACAGAAGGATCTTGACAGACTTAAACATTGGACCCTTTCTAACAAAATGAAATTCAGTGGTGAGAAAAGTAAAAATCTACATTTGGACAAGAAAAACAGAATGCACAGGTATAGAATAGGTGGTAACTGACTCAATAATAGTAACTGCAAGAGGGATCTTGGAGTTCTAGTGGACAATCACTTAAATATGAGCCGGCAGTGCTGCAGCTGCCAAAAAAACCCCAACACAGTTCTACACTGCATTAACAGAGGAGTAGAATCAAGATCACACGAAGTATTGGCTTCCAGTTTTGGATCGCAGCGCTGGCGGATGTGCGATGAGAGCACTCTCTCCACTGCCTGGTTTCCCTTCGTCGGGCGACTCTGAAAAGGGTCGTAAGTGGCCTTGGAGGGGCGAAGACCGTGAGGAGGACCCTCAACAGATTGCGGAAGGGCGGTAGCCCTTCCGTTTGATCCGAGGCAGCTCCTTTGGACCGTCAGAGAAAAGATCGGTCATTAACATGGTCGATCACTAAGCCGTGCCAGCCGAAAGCCAAAATTACCATCAAGCACAATGAAGCACCGCAGAGGATTTGGGTGAGACCTTTCCTTACCTTTCTTTTACCCCAACTACCTTCCTGTGAAAGCCTCTTGAAATTTCTTCTCCACTTTTAACACAGCGGTGTCTGCCTACTCTGGGAAACTAAGCTTTAAAAAGAAAAGAATAGATAATCTAAACAACTAAATAACTGGATTTTGATTTTTTGGATATTTTGGTGTCCCAAAAAGTTCATATTACAGGGACCTATCATCTTACCTATTTGTTAAGTTGGGAAAATGTTTTTTTAATTAGATAAAAGCCTAACTGGTGTCTGGAAAAAGATTCTATAGCCTATCAGGGACATCTTGTGGCAAAGCCTGGTACAGCAACTGAATTTCTTTGACTGTGAGGCTTGCTTACTCCCTAGATTTGCCCTTCACATTATCTAAAAAAGATAAGAACTTGAAACAGCTGGGTGGTGAAAACAATTTCTAGGAACAGTGGAGGTGGACATTTGCTGACTTTCCTAAACATAGCCTCCACTAAAAGACTATCTTTAATCACCATAGAAATGGAGGAATCCTACCCACAACTTAACTATAAACTTATACTTGAAAAAATTCTCAAAGCCACTGAGCTAATGAAATTCAGAGTGAAAAACAAAGATGTCATCTTAAAATTACAAATTGAAGCCCAGATTCCGATCAACTTATAAACCCAAAAACAATAGAAGAGGAACAAATCAACATCAAAGAGGATTCTACACAACAAACACAATTTATTGAGAACTTTGACAATCAAACTCTGATTTCAGCCAAAATACCTGCAACTCAAAAAGCAACAGAAACTGAAGAAAGCAACATTAAGATGGAGGATGTCGGACTTCCAGTTTGTGATCGCGGCACCGGCGAGCGCACGAAGAAGCTGCTCTCTCCGCCGCCTGGTTTTTCTCCGTCGGAAGACCCTGCAAATGGTCGAAAGTAGCTCTGGAGGGGCGACCATTGCTGAAGAGGGCCCTCGACTGACCGTGGAAGGGTGGTAGCCCTTCCATTGGATCTGAGGCAGCTCCTTTGGACTGAGAAAGAAAAGATAGGCCATTAACATGGCCGATCACCAAGCTGTTCCTGCCGAAAGCCCAAAGCACTACTAAGCACATCGAAAGCAACTTGAAGGAGTTGGATGAGACCTTACCTTACCTTTCCTGCTTCCCAACTATTTGCAAATACCTTTTTCCCCCTTCTCAATTCTGCGGCTCCTGCCTACTTTGGGAATATAAAGCTGAGGAAAAGAAAAAAAAAGAACAACTAGACTAAACGACTAAATATTTGGACTTGTAATTTCTGGATATCTGGGCTCCCAAAAAGTTTTTTACTCTCACAGAGACTTATTGTTTTGCTAGTTTGTTAAGCTGGAAAAAAAAGGAATATTTCTTCCTTCTTTGAACCTGATAAAAGCTTAACTTTGCATGTTACTGGGGACATCTTGTGGCAAAATATGGTTCAGAAAGTGAAATTTTTTTTCTGACTGAGACTTCTGAGACTAAAATTTGTCCTTGATATTATCAAAAAAGATAAGAACTTGAAACAGCTGGGTGGCGAAAACAACTCTCTATAATGGAGGTGGATACTTATTGACTTTCATTAAAAAATAGCCTCCACTAAAGGACTATTTGCAAATACCACAGAAATGGAGGGATACCACCCACAGCTTAAGTTCAAATTTATACTTGAAAAACTTTAGAGGCTACTGAGCTAATGAATTCCAGACTGAAAGATATATGTGCCACCTTAAAGCTACAAAACGCAGCCCTGGCTTCAATAGATGAACTTACAGCTCAAAAAGCAACAGAAGAAGAAGGAATTAACACTAAAGTGGATTTTAAAGAAGGCCAGCTACAATTTGAATCTGATATAAGAATTAAGGGAAACGGAGAGGAAAATTTTGATGACGTAAACTGACATATGTATGGAAAAGCATACATTGGACTATGTATTACCCAACCACCATGTTGCTTCTTTAATACCTGAAGTTTTGTAAAAATGGAAAATTAATAAAACTTGGGGTTTTTTTTAAAAAAAAAGATGGAGGATGTCAAAGATCAGCAAACCCAATATACTGAGAACTTAGACAATCTAGACAATCAAATAACAACTACAACACCGGATATGACCTTTTATTCTAGCCAGACAAAACTGGAAGAAAAAGAAAACCAGACTGAACTGATGACAAATTCTTTAAATCAAACATTGAGATTTGAACTATTAGGGCAACAATCTAATGATTTCAAAGGGGGCAGTTC